TTCACTTGCCATTCTGTCTCTGGATGTAGCAGGCAATGTGCATGAAGAAGGAGATCGGGAGCAAGAAGGACTCCACGATGTAGGAGACATTGAAGAAGCCACCAGCATCAACCTTGGCCCACTGGGGATCGTAGAAGTTGAACCTGGGCTCAAGCATGGTTGAAGATCTGCACCATATAATGCAAGGGATGCGAACCTACCTGGTGATAAAGGCTTTAAGGTGCAACGGCACATTCATGCAGGTTGGTCCAAGGCCTTGCACCCCGGAGCTTGCGAAAGTCGAACTCAAGACTGGAGGGCTAAGCTGCAGTTCAGCGCATTCAGACTCCGTTTCGGATACACTCAAGCAGAAAGACAAACCTACATCTCGCATGTAAACCTGGTCGGTGGCAAAAACTCTGCTGGTCCCGATGCCCCCTGGCCCAGGAACTGCAGATTGCCGTAGAGGCCAACTCCAAAGAAAAGCATCGACAAGAATGCGAGCTCGTTGGAGCTGAAAGCCTCAAGCGGAGTCGGATCATGCAGCACCTTGAAGAGCAAGTCTCCCAGCCTTCAAGTTTCCGATGACGTGGGAGGTGTACTTGCCCTCCTTGATCATTGGCGTGCCGGGGTAGTCGGGCAGCCAGCCCTGCCTTGAAACGAGGAAGCAGGAGGCATGCCACTACAATCGGCCGAGTGCAATCGAGATGCAGCTTGTCGGGGTGCCAGTACAGCGGGCCCTTCAGGTACTCCGATGTGTACTGCAGGTAGACCTCAGACATCGGAGCTCTGCATGGCACAGTCTTTCAGAGCGACCTGGACCTGGCCTGCTCGAACAGCCTCTCGTCGGCGACGGTCTCGACGTACTTGGTGGCCTAAGGCTGAACCATCGAAAACAGGCGAGAAGGTGCTTAAGGCTGAAGGCTCGATCACTTTCCTGAGGTCCGGACGGGGGCATCTTTTGCAGCCCGGGCTGCTGTGGAAGCTCTAGAACGCCAGGCTGCTGCCAAGCCCACATGCGCACCGAGGGCCAGGCCTTTCAACGGACCCGAGACGCAAAAGTCTTCGCACGCGGCTACAGTAGGCGATCAGGACTCTGCCTGCTGCCGCCAATCCCCAGCCAGCAGGTTCAGAGGCAGACGAAGCCATTCCCGATGGGGTCGGCCTCAGCATGCGAACTGCAGCACCCCCACACGTCGGCAGTCGGTGCTGTCTGCGAAGTGCCGAAGCCCGCGCTTGTTGGGAACCACAGGCGCTCTTGCAGGCGCTGCAACGAAAGCCGCCCCGGCCGCCAGTGCGGCCACGGCCGCCATGGAAGACACTGCCAGGCGAGGCATGGCTA